AGTTTAATTAAAAAAAAAAGGAAAAAACCACACCCATGTGCCTTTTCAAAACCAACTAAACTATAAAGCATCTCTGGTTCTTTCAAAGTTTGTGTTGCAAGGAGTGATGTAGGTGATGCTAACAGTACTTTATATTTTTGCTTAAAAATGACAACTACGAATTCTTTTTGAGTTAAGTTAGGTTGAGAAATTTCATTTAATGGCAGCTGAATTCAGGGCCATTTTCAATTGGGAAAATTCATTTATATCTGTGGTAAACTTTATTTTGATGAAAAGTTGCACTAGTATTTTACCACCAGATGAAAAAAAGGTAAGCATCATTTAAAAATTAATGTATTTAAAATAAAGTACAGAGAAAAACATGTATATAATATATCAGGCTTTGTTTTGAATGAATCTTTCCCCCCAATCCTTAATGTAAAGATCTTGTGCTATAACTTTTAAAGCCATACAAATAAGAGTGCTAAACTGTGGACTTAAGTAGGTGTGTAAATATTTTTAATCAGTATTACTTGGAAAATAAACTATAACAACCACATAAAATAAACCAATATGCTATTTTCTTTACCTGTTAAATATTGGGAGATATTTACATTTTTAAAGTAAACTTTAAAATTACGTGTTCGTGACTCTTTTTTTTTTAACTTACCTTTGGTTTGTGGTCAGAGATGCTGCCTTCTCGTCTGTATTAACGTGACTGATAATGTGAATTGAGACATAAAATTTGAGAGATGAAGTTCTCAGTCCACACGTCTCCAATCCCCAAAAATCAGTTCAAAAGAAAGGAGGGAGGAAGAGGTTGTACTTGTAATTCTACATGGTGGGACACAATAGCAACAGTGGAATTTTAGTACAGTCAATTTGTAAAATACTTTTTCTACTTACTAGTTAAAATTTAAAAAATCAGTTCAACTTAATGCCTCAATAATACTGATGTTAAGTTGTATCCTATTTATAAAACACACTGAGGAGAATGGCTTCCCACGACTGGAGAAGTCATGGATTTAGCACTAAATAAGAATTAGGAGGTTGTTTTTATTTCAAGGTCAAAAAAGTATATGAACATTTCCAAGTCTGTTCTGTTTGGCAGTTGGGTACCCACTGCAAAGCATAAAATATATATATATATATTCACACACACACACATACACACACACACACACACACATATATATATAAAATATATAATTTCCCCCCACACCTTTGAAGTCAGGAAGTACTGATTGATAGGATTATATCACATTGAATTTTCAGATTGCCTTAAGATATCCATGTTTTTGAGTTAGTTGCAGTTTAAAAAAAAGTTTAAATTCCTGATAGATAGTGGTCTCAAGTATGTAAATTACTAGGTAGTATATAGTGAATTTTGAGTGCTGAAAATAGCTCGTGCTGTTCTTTCAAGCCAGGGTGTGAAACAAGGTTTATTTTTAAACGTAATCTTTCAAGAGCTCTGACCACAAGGTAGAAATCAGGGACAAAGGACAGCAAAGCACTGAAATTATCATTTGAGGTTTCAGATTTGGCAAGTCCTTTCAAGACAGGTGTGAGGGGCAGGTATATAGTTCATTTTTACTTTTCCCAAAGATAATAAAGGCTGTTTCAGTGTGCTCCAGTAAATCTGATTGCAGAGGAGGAAAGCTACCTACTGGTTTTACGCCTTATGATGGCTAGCACTTTGAGTTCGTGAAGCATTTGACATAACAGCTCTTAAAAACCATGATGTATATTAAAGTGCTGAACTGGCTATTTTGTTCTTCCCACTTCTGGAGCTTTTAGCTCGGTCTACAGTATGACAGCTGTACAGCAGTGCCAGACCTTGGTCATCACAGGAATTCCAAAGTGCACTGGACAGTGATGAGGGAGCCTCTTGTTTCTCTCCTACACCATGTTCCTATAGCAGTTCTTCACTTCTCCAGTACCAGCTAGGTGTCTTTCAATTCTGACAGTACCCAGAGTTAAGTGATAAGTACCACAAGACTGCCACTTCAGACACCAGCTGCAAATTGGGAGATTCCACCCATCCCAGATTCAGTAATGCACTAGAATGACTCAGAACTCGGGAAAGCACCATACTTCTGAGTATAGTTTTATTATAAAGGATAAACCAGGAACAGGCATAGGGAAGAGATGCATAGGACAAACTGGAGGGAGGGCCGGGCAGCACTTCCACATCCTGTCTTGGTGTTCTGCCCTCCCAGCACGTGGAAATGTGTTTACCTGGAAGCTCCCTTAACTTGTTTACTGAAGTTTCATTATCTAAGTGCGATTAAGTCATTGGCCATTGATTATTGAACTCTCCAGCCCCTTCCCTGGAGATCTTGGGATGGGGTTGATAGTTCTAGCCCTCTAATCCATGCACGTGATTTCTCTGATGACCAGAGCCTAGAGTAACCTCACTACATAAACTCAGGTCTGGGCTTTAGTTCCTAACAGAATAACAAAAGACAAAACTCAGGATTTTAGGAGCTCAGTGCCAGGAACCTGGGACAAAACAAATACATACTTTTTTTTTGTTGTTATACCACCCCTACCACCTAAGATTCAAAAGGGAACTAAACTGAACCCTAATGTCAATATATTGAAAGCCTAGAAATCTTTTTTGAATATGTACAAAAATAAGAGTCTTACAGTCTTGCCATTTAAAAAGGCTGCTATCCTCATAACACTATTGAAAGTAGGAATAATTTCATGGGAATGTAAATGCTGCTGCTCCCACTACATGCAATTTGGAAGTAAGATTTCAAGATTAGCAAGGTCCATAAGGGTCTTCTAATTACCCACTTTATACTTTGAATAAGCTAATACTATTGACTGAGGCTTAAATGTAGATAAAAGTCTCCACCAGAAAATCAAGTCGATTTTAAAGCACATCTTCAATAGGGGTTGATTGTTTTGAATAAATGATCAGTAAGCTGTTCACGTGGAAACAGTTTTTAACTGCATGCAAAATTACACATAAATACCTGACCTTAAAAGTCAAGCCTGATTTTGTTGGAGAAAACATGATAGCTTTGAATTCATTGTGATAACACTGGTTTTTGTGTTAACATCAGGAGTGGAAACGTAGGCTGAATATTTTTCACGTGTAACGTGCTGAGCTGTGTTATGGCTCTTGAGAATCTGTCATAACGATTTCAAATGAGAAGCAGCAGGAATTAAAACTATCGAACCCTTCCCACCAATTAATGAGATCATTCTAGTTGGGAGCCTACAAGTGGACTATCCTAAATATATTCTGAATTTATAGATCTTAAAACTACTCCACATTCTATAAACTACTTCATTAATCCTATTGACATGGTATGTAGGAAGGCAGCATGTGAATTCATAATTTTTTTCTCCTCAACTTTCCCACAACCTAATATGACGCTGTAAATATGACACCTAATTACGCAAGTAATGACCACCTTGATATTTGTACCAAAATACAGCCCTAGGAAAGAAAAATCTCACTGTAACATAACAGAATCATTTATGAATCAATTACTACTTCCCAAACACTTTACATTTAATCATCTCAATGACCTCATGAGGTAATTATTTTATTAGCTATCATGTTACTAACAGAGGAAACAATGAGAAGATGAGAAACAGCTGATAGTGGAGGCAATATGTGAAACCAGGGAGCTTGACTCCAAAGACTACACACTTAATCTCTAAAATACAGTTACCTCCGTATGAGATCTCTTTGTGGCTGACAATATTGGATTGCACAGAGCATAGGCAAACTCCCATTTTCCTTTGGGAATTTACATCAGCTCTTGATGGTGTTGGGGTGGAGGGAACCGGAGATCAGAAAAGATGACAAGATACATGAAGCAAATTTGGTATCACCTTGCCTTGAGATTGCCCCATCTAGGTAATGGTTCTCCAACTATAGCATACATTAACATCTTGTTAAAACACAGTGCTGGACCCCGCATCCAGAGTTGTTGATCAGTTGGTCTGGGTTAGGACCCAAGAACTTGCATTCCTAACAAGTTCCCAGGAATACACTGCTGGTCCTGGAACCACATGTGGAGAATGGCTAACATGGGGTACTTATAGGAAGCACAGATGACTATCCAGTGGCATGAACCTTTTTGAGAGTTTCTTCTTTTTTATAGTATAGTCAGGTTCTACTCAAAAAGTATTTGTTGTATCTTATTTTTTACCTATTGTTCATGTTTACTATCCATGTAATGGACTAGACTAAGAAAGCAGTCTTGGGGTTTTTTAAATATCAGTCAAGCACATTCTACGTATTCTCAGTAACTAATTGTTTGTATGATGTTTCTGAAATGAAAATGCCACAAAGACATGAAATCTTAGAGAACAATAAGAAATTAAAAACTGGAAAATCAGAGTAATTGACCACAAGTAATTTTGCTTCTGCTGAGTAACTCAAACATACTTTTAGACACAAAATGGTAGCTCATATCTGCTGAGGAGCAAATTTCAATGTATGAATTCACATAAGAGAAAAGCTGACCATTAATTGTGGTCTGGGGGCCTGGTAGACCTCTTGTCCTAGAGCAGTAACTGTGTCCTGTGAAATACAAGTTATCTATTAGACACAGCAATGAAATACTGTAGAGCAGATAATAAGGGTTCCAAGCCCCAATCTCGCTGAAATGGTGCTTTTAAAAACTACAAACAAAAAAATCAAAGGTAACTGA